TTAACATGCTCAAGGGGGAATGGTTTTAAAGGTCTCGGGCACCTTTATGTTTAGAGTCAGCGGCTGAAAACTTGTGGAACCCCTGCATTATTTTATAAGTTGTGTTTTAGAGGGTTTTCATCACAGGATACAAGTACACAATATGTGTCCACATGTCATTTTTCATTTAACAATTATTTGCCTTTTGCTAAAAGTAAAATTTATTTTCCAATGTCCTGTTCAGAGCATTTACTTTGTTCCTACTGTCCTTTTTAAATTTCCCTCTGGTTTGCATCCTTCCCTCAGGTATGATAGTAGTTGGACTGGATGAAGAGTTGGGTCCACAGCTGTATAAATGTGATCCAGCTGGTTACTATTGTGGCTTTAAGGCCACAGCAACTGGAGTCAAACAGACAGAAGCCACCAGCTTCCTGGAGAAGAAAGTCAAGAAGAAGCTGGATTGGACCTATGAGCAAACTATAGAGGTTTGAGACACACTGTATACACTGTATACTGTATACACAAAGACTTTCCTGTTCATAGAGGACAAGTATAGTCACATTTATAATGCCACATCAGAACTTTTTCCTGAAACAACCCCACTCATAAGGAATGTGGCTCAGTTACATTTCACAGATTTCACACTATGCAATTCCTTGAATCTCATTGAATTATGCCTGACATTTTCTACACGGGTTATTAAATGATTTTCTACTGGATTATCACCAAATTACTAGTTTTTGGACAACTGGAGTGGAAACTGAACTGTTCTAATAAATCGTAATACTGGATTTAGCTACACAAAGGGAAAATATTGATATTGGTAAAATAAAACCATTAAAGTGGATGTTTTTTTCAAAGCAAAGAAAGTGAGATATATCTAAATTTGATGTTGCCAACATTTACCCGTTTCAATGTCCCTTCCCCCACAATTTAATGTTAATAGGTACTGTCCGAGCAGGTGATCAAACATAGGTGCTTTGGTTATATTTGTTTTTCCCAAAGATAGAACATGTGTCAAAAAGTCAACAGATGTTGAATTCTAAAGTTGCCTTTGAAACTGTACATTGAGTATATCACTGACGCCATCAATAATTGCAAGCATCCCTCATGTATTTATACATTATGTTCAATACAGCTAGATGATTTGAAACATGAGCCCCATACTGTTTCTTACTGCATCCATCTGTTTATTTCTTGCCTTGTCAAAACAGACGGCCATCTCATGTTTGTCGACCGTCCTCTCCATCGACTTCAAGCCGTCAGAGCTGGAGGTGGGAGTTGTCACTACAAAGGACCCGGGATTCAAGTGAGTATTTTTATGAGACGGGGATAAACACTGTCCCAGAGGTCATTAATGAGAAATAAGATTTTGCATAAAATAGGAATGCAGTTCCACTGGCCAGAGGCTCCTTCAGGGTGTTACAGAGAAAAAGTAAAGTGGGTTATTGCCGGAAAAGAGGTGTTTGGTTTGAGCTCACATCCTGGATGAATTTAAGTGTAAATGAAAAGGAAATTAATCTCTGTTGCTCACAGAACTTGAAACTCCAGCCTTCTGCCTTTTTAAGTCTTTTATTTTTGTGCTGAAACTTAAACATGATAATGTGTCAGCTCTGTTCAGAATGCATCAGAGCTTTGTTTAAAAATGGAGAAAAATAGACGTGATGGAAATTCCCTACAGCTTAGACCAGGGATGAGATCAAATTAAGCATTTACATAGTCGGTGTGTGCGTGCGTGTACTTCCCACAAAACTGGCAGAACAAAAAGATATGACCGCTAACATGTGTGTTTGTGTTCCAGGATTCTGTCAGAGTCCGAGATTGATGTTCACCTGGTGGCTTTGTCTGAGAGAGAGTGAGGAAAGTTGGCAGCCATTTTGCAGCCGTCATCATCATTATCCTCTGGAAAGGACGATGGATGGTAAAACCAGAAAAACTCACACCATTGTCTCGACTAGAGAGAAGATGAAGGACAAGCAGACACATCTTGTTCAGAGGAGCTGCACAACCAAGTGACATGGACAAAACTATACACAACAATCATTTTATAGCAGTTGGGTAGAACATGTTACCCAGCTTCCCCATGAGACGTCCCCTCCTCCATCCTCCCAGGTCATAGTCAGGATCTGACTGGACGCAATGTTATCCACATATCGACCTCTCCTGTATTGTCCCTCTAACCACACTGAGACATCATCACTGCAGCCGGCTGCCAACTGTCACAGAGCCTGGAGCGATGCTGACCATGACCATTCCACCATTTGTGACACATCAGCCTGATATTCTCCCTGTTAACTACATGTCACACACACATTGACCACAGTGCCCTCTCTGGATGCAGTTGTTAACTGTGAGCAGATCAGAAGATGGAGGTGTTGTAACAACAACTACAGCACAATATCTCTCGTAACATCTCGAGTTGCTGTATTTGAAGCAGTGTTTCGTCACCATCTTAACTCAGGGCGCAACGCGTACTTTCTGAAACTGTCTCGTTTTATTCATCTGCCTCAAGGTCTCTCCTCTCTTTAGCTCCAGGAGGATGTTTATTATCTGATGTACTTTGTGATAATCCAGGGATCAGCCGTGGTCAACTCAGGTCAACGTCAATGGGAAGTCATCAGTTATTTCTCTTAATCCTCCTCTCTGCTGCTGTACAACACTGCACTTCTATTAAACAGTGTTTTTATTGAACACATAAGTTTGCCTGTTGTCTTTTCTGTGCATATTTCACCACGTGCTGTTGCAGACGTCACGTATCTGATGGCGTTCACTTCAGACTTGTACAGTCTCAAATGTCAATAAACTGGGAATTAAGGCTACTTTGTGAATAGGAAATTTGCAAATCAAATTATGTGGTTGTGAGGTCAAAGTTACAGGCTGTTAGTGTTAAACAGCATTTGACTTCTAATGTTGACCTAACTATCACTCATAAAACTAAGAAAAAGGCTAATCACTGGCTTCAATATCTCATCCTTATCGCCATCAAATCCCTCGGAACATAATCCTCTGAAATGAGGACTGCACACAACTGTGTTGCATGACAGATCCAGCGTTAAGATCTCTTCACCTGCATGAATCACTCTGAGGCGTGAAAGAAAAAGCTGTTTCTTTTTCCATCAGGGAAGGTCAATAATTTCCTGAAAGGCTGGAATTTTTGCAGCCTGCACTGATGATAATCTGGCAGGATCACAAATGATCAATAGAGAACACTCCTTTATGTAACAGAATGTGACGAGGTGTTGAAAAATATGTGAAGAGATTTGATTGTCAAATTTTGTAAATTTTTTATCTGCAATTTCCTCTTCGACTTTGACCTCAGTAGTAAAACGTGACACCAATAACGGTGTCAATAAAAACCTGAATATTCTCCTTTGAACTTAATGCTAGAACATTGTGTTCAATGACATTTGACTGACATGTATAACTTATAAAGTGGCTACTGAGTAATATATCTGTCACCTTTATGGTTCCTGTGATAGACCTCTGTAAAAGTTCAGGAGATGATTTATATGGAATATTGTCAATATGAATTTAATACTCTACATTAGCAGTGTTTAGGAGGAGCTGGTTTAAGTTTTAAAACTGTATGTTGACATAATACCACTGCTGGTATATGAATCAAATACATCACTGTGGGTGAACTGCTGTTATAATACTTACATAACTTGCAGTGAGTTAAGCCAACCCACTGAGCTGCTTGACTCTGACCAAATTCATTTTAAGCACAAATCTACAAAGTGACCATAGAATGATGAAAACGCTTATATAACAGTGGATATTTATTCAATTTTATTTAAACCCCTTTCCTCCCCCGAGCTCGGCTGAAGTATCCTGTTGCTCCCCAGATTCCCTTCTTTGGAGGACGTGGAGCTGGAATGTCGCTAACAGCTGAGTGTTCTGCTCCTGGGAATTTCCTGTCCATTTCCTCTTAGCCCCACCCTCCCAAATAAAAAACAACTTCCTGATTTAGATGACAAAACTATCATTGCACGCACATAAAAATTTCCCAAAGCCTTCTTATCTCATTCTGGGTGTACACCAAGCAGGAAGGAGTGTATCGCCGGGCACAATTTGCCAACATCCTCATTCAGTAAGTGGACAAGTTATCAACTGTTTCCTGCACGACATGAATTATTTGAAAATAAAGGACCCTGGGTTAGAGGTTAAATTATAGAAGACTTTAAACGGACACTGGCGGCAGCAGAGGCATGTGGTTAAAACAATTCCGTTACAATCAAAACCTTTTGATATTGTTAATTCGACTATATGCTTGATTTGTATGATCTTCATATTCTAACTGATGTCTAATAAATTGTATACATGAAAGTATCTCGGCTGCAACCCACCCACCATGTCGCCCATCACCACAGTACTCACACAGGACGTCATCACTGTTAAATATGAGTTTTTTTAATTTAACTGGAGTGTGCTGGACTGTTTACTATCTGACATATACAACCTACTCAACTGTACACATTCACAGCTTCCATAAAAAATACATCTTAGTATACACAGCATTTACAATATCATACAACAGAGCTGTTGCAGGTACATCTGTGTGGGTGGATGTGTTTTTGTGACAATCATGTCCACAGAATGCAAGCGATTCTCTTATAATGCAGCGGTGCCTTCCCACCATAATGTGTTGTGTTTTCACATCTCAACACGTGTTCGCTCTCTAGCGGAGCAGTCCTGCTGGTTTATTCGGCCACCAGTCTCTTGTTTTTCTTTGCCTTTACAGCCGCCTGTCCCATCCATTTAGTCAGTGGTCACGTCTGCACTGTCAGCCACGCGTTACGGCGCTCCCGTGACATCATTCCAGGAAGCAGCAGACGAGCCGCTTCTCCCATCCTTTACCGTCATCATCAAAGCCACACACCTCTGTAACTTCCCGTCTTGCCCCATCTCCTGCTAATGTCCATTCCAGTGAATGTCATCATAACCCACCTGCAGACACACGGAAGACAGTGGGAAAAAAAATTAAGCACAAAGAAGGAATTTTTCTGTCCTTCATAAAACCAAACTGACTGTACAGTAGACGTTCTGCATTTTTCAACACGCACCTCCTCATCAGACTTCTCGTCCTCCTCTTCCTCGCTGTCATCCGATTCGCTGTCAGGCAGCTCCCTCAGGTCTGGATTGGTCAGCGAGTACAGCTCTTCCCTGATGTCACAACTGCCGTAACCGCAGGTGAGGTGGTAGGGGGTGTGGCCTCCAGAGGTCAGGAGGTTGGGGTCTGCTCCTTTTTTCAGCAGCAACTTGACCAGTGAGAGATTCTGCTGATCCACTGCCAGATGGAGGGCACTGCGACCGTTATGCTGCTCCTACAGGACAGGGAGAGATTTTATTAGCACAGGGACAGAGGCAAAGCTTAAATACAACAAGAGTGGTCCTCAAAATGTCAGTAATTCTATACTATATGAAGTGCGTATTGTCACATATAGATATGGTGTTGTTTACCTTTGCATTAATATCAGCTCCTAGTTCCACCATGTTCTCCACCAGTGAGAGGAAACCATGGACTGAGGCAAGGTGGAGGCAGTTCTGACCTGCACAATACATCAAAGCAACAGTTTAACAGATGACTACAGACCAGTGCATACACGTCGTTTTATCACAGCAGCTACGCAGGAGAGTCCAGCTTATTTCAAATGGTTATCAACTGGACAAATGATTAGCTTAGATATGCACTTAATGGAAATATGAAAAACTATGGCAACAAATATAAAAACTAATTTTCACAAAAACCTCCCCTTTTTTTAAGTCTGGTTACCAAAAGAATCTGTAAATAACCCACCAACACCTTAAGAACGTCTGTGTACACGTCAAAAAGTAAACGCTTCCATGATCTAACATTATGTTCCATGTAATAGATGGGTTTGGTCAGGGTGTAGTGCTATGAAAAGCTACAAGTTTCCTTCCTCCTAACCATAGTGTTCAGGGATAATGGACAGAAGCAGAAATGATTCCTTCTGCCCTCCATTCCTCCTTACAACTATTAGCCAAGACCAGCAGCAGACTAGTCAGTGTCCCATCTGTTTCTATGCAGTGTGGGTGGGCCACCACAGAGTGGAATTAGCCATCACCGCAAAATGCAAGTTTTTGATGTTGAGTAATTGAGGCTTCTCAAATTCAAACATTTTTCATGTGCTAACAAATGTAGTTTGAAGGTTGACAAAGTATTTTTTTATCCAAAGTGGGAAGAGAACAGCAATTTAGTCCAAATCCCATCAGATAACCAGACAAAACACTACAATAAAAACTCACCATTAAAGTTGCAGGCAGCCATCACTGTGTGTAGGTGGTCTTTCTGACTGTACTGTGTGAGGACACTGAAGCACATTAGGTTGCCATGGCGACAGGCAATGTGCAGAGCCGTGTCCCCTCTGTTGTCCACCAGCGTGGGGTCACAGCCAGACGTCATGAGCTGCTGACACACGTCGGCCTGGTTTGTTATTACCGCTAAGTGGAGAGGAGTCTGGAGGGGGAAGATTATGATTAGCCAGTGAGTTACTGAGCCGGCAGATATAAAGCATAAACCTGTGTTGTTGTTGCTACAGTACAGTCTGAAGTAAACAGACATAGGTTCTCTTTGGTGATGTCCACCACGTACCTGTCTCAGGTCGTTCTGTGTGTTCAGGAAGTCTGTGTTCTTGGACACATCGATCATGGTTTTGATGTAGTCCTTGGCCTCGTGGATGATGGCCAGGTGAAGTAGCCTATAGAGACAGGGGAGGAGGGTAGAAGACCTGTTAATATACACATACACAACAAAAGCTAATGTATAAGACAACAGGAATATGTTCCACAAGGAAACCAGTGGCACACAGCCACTTCACATTTTCTAGAGCCGGCCCGAGTTATCTGTTGGGTCTGATAACAACATCTTAGGACAACACTACCAATAATACATATAAAGTTAATCATTTACCATGCAATTCTATATATATGATTGTCTATTTTTAATCTATATCACATAATTGATGACTTTGAACAATGAAGAGCTGCTTTAATACTTAAAATTCAATGACCGATCGATGCAAACAAACTACTTTATATT